ACACTAATAATCATAACAACAACAACAACAATAACAATAATTTTTAATTCTACCTTTCAAATCAAGTCTATAGTTATTTTTTAATAGTAATATTTTTTTAAATTTTTTTTAATAATTATATTAATAATAATAATAAAAATAATAATATTTATAATATTAATATTAATATTAAACATGTCTTACCCAAGTTCTTATAGTTTTTAATTTTACCCTTCAAATCAAATCTATGGTTGTTTTTCAACATTAATAATATATTTTTTAAAAATTTATTAATTATTATATTAATAATATTCATTATAATAAAAATAATAATATTTATAATACAAATAATAATATTTTTAATATTAATAATAATGTTAAACTTGTTTGATCCAATTTTAAATGGGTCTTGCTACAACGCTAGATCCAAGAGTTTTGAGTCTGATTGCAACGCCAAATCCAAAAGCCTTGGATGTAACTGCAAGGTGGTATTATAAAAGTGTGATAACTAAATAGAGAAAAATTAATATTAAAGAATAAAATTAAACAAAAAAAATAATTGAAAAGGAAAAAACAAAACAAAACATTATTCTAATGAATAGTATTTTCTGAAGAGGGGTACAATAAAACTCCCTCATAAAATCATGATAATTTAATAAAAAGATGACTCTAAAGCATAAAGAAATAAAAAAAAAATACACAAAAAAACCTATAAGAAAAGCATTCACTTTTCACTATGACAACGAAAAATTAATGTATTTTTAGTAAAGAGTAGTAGATAGATGGCCCGCACTTAGTTGCTAGGATCCATTCATTGAATTCTTTCAATTCATTTAACTAATTGGTCATTAATTAAAGCATATAAGAGCTCAATTATGAAAAATAAGGATGAATTTTTTTTGCTACAAAGCATATCCTAGGTGTTCCAGTATATATATATATATATTCTGAATGTCATGCTTCAAAGGAAAGAGGAATAATGGCAAATTAAAAACGTGAATTTGGATATCATTTCTGTTTTTGTTGTAAAAATATTAAAATACCAACATTGGTTGTCATCAAAGATTTTCAAAAGCAAACAAAGTGTCTTTAAGAAAATTGGATTCTAACCGTTTGATTAGTGGGTTCAAATGATAATCCTTGAAAACTGTGTTATAACTTGGATTTAAGAATTTTTTTGTTTTCATGATGCGTAGCCATGTTTTTAAAGATTTTATAGTTTTTTTTGTCTTAAATTAATTTTTATTTTTTATTTTTGAATTTTTTTAATATACTAATATAAAAAATAATTTTTAAAAATAAAAAAAATATTATTTTAATACATTTCTAAAAATAATTATTTTAAAAAACAACAACTATATCAAATCTTATCCATTTGAACACATTTTTGTCTGCGTTTCAAAATTATTATTATTATTATTATTATTTTTGAAATGCATAATTTTTTTATATTTGTTTGGGCTTGAACTGCAGTTTAGTGTATAAACAAAAGGGGACTCAGAGGCCTGCTCGCCCCTTCAAAATTTTAATCGGGCATCAACACTTTAATTGTATGAAACAATAACTGATGTGGCACAGCTCTTTACATTATACTGTTTGAAATAATGCAATGTAATGGTCTTCGTTGTTCCTAAAAGTGCAATTATTTTTTTTACAAAAAATATACAAGTCGTGTCTATAAACAAATCACATGTTTTAGGAAATTGTCACTCAACAAATCTTAACAAGTTTCATTTCGTTCATAAAATAATAATAATAATTAAGTTTTAAGGTAACAAACCACATTTTTAATAGCTAGGTCAATAAATCGAGTTTTTACTATATCTGTATTTATTTATTGATATAAAAAGTTATATATTCATCATATTTTAAATATTCATATAAAATAATACATAGAAATGAGAGAAAGAGCGCGTAATAAGATTTCAAGTCTAATTTAATAATATCTGTAAATCATTTATATTTAATATAATTATTAAAAAAAAACTCACTTATTCAAATTGATTTACATTCATATTCAAAAACTTTTTTTTTATTAATTGACTCATTTATTTACCAATTTTTTTTAAAAAAATTATATTCTTCCTTTTAAAATATCTTGATTCAGTTATTTCTGTATCTTTTTATTCTTTTCTTTAAAGAATTCTATATAAATTCATGAAAATAAATAGTTAAATCAGATGTCGAAGTAGATTTGTTCTAAAATAAGATTTTTGAAAACAAAGATCTTGAAAAATATATTTTAACATAATGGTTTAAAAAGAACATAATAAAAGTTTGTAGGAATATATTAGATTAGAGTAGAGTGGTGTTTGTTGTTGGGGTTAAAAATTTGAAAGGAAGTTTTATGATTTTTAGTTTTTTTTTGTTAAATATTTTTTATTTATATTTAGATTGTTTTAATTTCATCATATAAAAAATAATTTTTTTTAAAATAAAAATATATTATTTTTATATATTTTTAAAAATAAAAAAACATTTAAAAAACCATAGCAGCCGGTACTAGAAGAAAAGCTAAGCAAAAATCCTTGATGAGGTAATAAAAAAACATTTAAAAAACCATAGCAGGCGATACTAGAAGAAAAGCTAGGCAAAAATCCTTGACGAGGCAGATCATTAGTGGCTACTAATACCGGAGAAATGACACCTACTCGTCTCAGCCTATACAAGACTGTTGTTGTCCATCGCTACTGAATTCTATGCAGTGTGCTTTTCGTTAGCGTATCCTCACGCCTAGAGTTAAACCATGATCTGTCCATCGTCAAAGTTATGAAACTCCCCCATGTTGGTCCCAACGTGACTAGAGTCCATCTCAGCCACTGTTTTGTCTTCTTCACCCTGCATTGTTCATTGTCAAGGTCTCTATCAAAGACATCAATTCTGCCTCCTCTAAGGCAGCAAAGCCGCACCAAATCTTCACAGATTTGTCTTGCCATTTGACCAAGTCTTCCTCAACTTTGTCGCTGAATTTTGCTTCCACCACCCTGTACATTCCTTCATCAAGATGCACAAAATCCCCCAAGTTCTGCCCTCCACAAGGCAGCAAGGCTAGACAACGTTCTCACCGATATACTAGCCCATGACGATTGAATTCCATCTCGGTCATCAAGTAAACGTATAAGATTTACGTATGCCATATCCCCAACACCATCTTCCATAATGTCAGCGTCAAGTTTTTCCCTTCTTGGGCAACAATCCCACACAAAGTAATTTCCATCGCAAGAGAAAAACAGTGTAAATTCAGTTTCAAACCCTTACCAATTTGCCTTCTCGTCTGACCTTCCATTGTCAACAGCAAGTTTGGGCTCTTTTCCACTAAATTGCTTCTTTCATTTCACTCCAACCTTCCAATTTAGGCTTTGACGAAAACTTAGAAACTCCCAGCAGTCCCTTCGCTGGCCCCTGTTCTCAAGTCTGCCATTCCCTCGACAGTTTCGATGGCTGAATCAGCACCCATTTTGATCTGATCCCTTTGTCATCACTTTGCTTCACTCATAGATTAGTTAAGCCACCAAACTTCGCAGGCCTTTGAACACCAACACTGCCCAAAAAAGCTAGCAAGTTTTCCCCAAAAAGGCTTCAAACAAATCAGCCTTTCGATCTGCCCCATAGACTCTCTATTGTCTATGCTATGAAATAGCCCATTGTTTCGTCATGAATGTGAATTGTGCTCTGTCTTCAAGTTTCTGCTATTGGAAGCAGCAATGCTTCTCCCAAATTAGTCCCGTCAATTTTTCTAGAGAAACAACAACATTCTCGTCGCTGAACATTGCGATGAAATCTGCCCATCCATCCGCAAAAACAGTAGCCCTCCCAAATCAGTCCGTTAATTTGGCAGCAGAATCATTCTTGTTGTCCTGCCAAGAAAACAACTGCACTTTGATACCAAATTGTCATAGGGTAATTTTTTTTGCTACGCGAATAAACTCATGCAGCAGCCTAGTGCCTCACTAGACTCAGCCTTTTCTTGCCAATCTCACTCGTGTTTGCCTAGTAACTAAGCAAGCAGAATACATAAGTAGAATAAAATAATCAAAATACACAACAAGCTTTACAGGAACTCTTTC